CGCGGTAGCCAGCAGGGGGCGGCCTCTGCCAGCCACCCAGGCACCCGCCTGCTCACCTCCTGCATCCTGCTTGAGGCCACCAGGAACCCTACACCCGGCAGTTGGATCCTACCCTTCGCTAAATAGAAGCCACCTGGTTGGGTCCCTGTTGCTCTGAGAGGAAATCCTGGCCCTGAGCCCTGAAGAGGGGTAGGGTGGGAAAGGGAGAACTGGACTGGGCAGAGGTGGCAGAGGGCCAAGATTGAAGTTGACCCCTGGTTGCCATTAAGACAAACCCCATCCCTTCCCAGCCCAGGGCCTCACCTGGGGGGAGCTTGGCAGTGGGGTGTCCGGCCCCTGGTGAGTAGATCTCAGCCTTGGAGCCCGGCTGGCAGACCATGTGGTTGGTCACCAGGTGGCTGTAGAGGATGTCCCTTGTGGTGGAGATGAAGCCACAGCTGTGGCAGACACCTGCAGGCAGGCTGTGGTATCAGGGCCCTGGGGTGGGGTGCCCCCCCAATCCCCTTCCCAGCCCCCACCTACCGCTCAGCGTGTCTGTGTGCACCTTGAGGTGCCGCTCACAGTTGGCCTTGGTGGTAAAGGCCGACAGGCAGATCAGACATACAAAGGGGCGTTCTCCTGGAACACAGGGCTGAGTGAGGGGTGGGCTCCTGGAGCCCAGCTGGCCAAGGACCTGTGACATGGGGGCTCTGTTTAAACCCTGCCTCCTCTGCCCCTTGTCCCCTGGGACTGTGGCAAGGGCCCGGCCCCGAGCTGACCATTCCGATGAGCACCGGTGGGCCACATACTCAGGAGCACTGTGAGGTGCCCTAGGAGGATAACACAGGTCTGTCTGGCAGGGCGGGTACCAGGGGCCAGATAGGACCGGGGGGTGGCGGGCGAGGGCGTCCGGGCGCCGGGGCCGGCGCCGGCTGGGGGCTGGCCCAGCAGCAGGCCGTGCGCCAGGCGGAAGTGCTCGATGAGGTCGCCGCGGACCACGCCGTTGGGCGGGCAGTAGGGGCACACGACGGCGCCGCCGGGCGCGTCCTCGGGGGCGGCGCGCAGGTGGCGCGGGGCGGCAGGGCACGAGAACTTCTTATGCGCCAGGTAGGCCTCGAGGCTGTGGAAGCTCACGCGGCAGGCCGTGCACTCGTGGTAGTCGGCTAGCGCAGGCAGGCCGGGCGCGGGGACAGGTGCCTGCCGCCGCGGCTTCTTGCTCAGGTCGATGGGGCCGTCGGCGGCGTCGGGCCCTTCCTCTGCCCCAAGCCTGGGTGGCAGAGGCCAGGC